ACCCCCCCCCCCTTTTCATGGGTCGAACCAGCCCTCGGTCGAACGGCCACTTGTCGAAGGACGATAAATTTTGGAACAGAACTATGCTATCTGAAACCTAACCTCAGATGCGGTGAACGTAAAATTACGTAATTTAACGATGCCTGGAAGACATATTCGATCCGCGGCCTGGTGGTGCAAAGCAGGTGGTGGTCAAGGCCGGAAGAGGACAAAGCCGAGTGGCGCACGGCTGATTGGTGTAGGTCCGGAGAGACCCAAGGCGTTTGATTCAGGGCTTATTGGTGCACGAAATTGGTGGTGCACGGCTGCGCTCCTCTTTATATACTCTACCTCGCAACCGAAGACGATTATTTTGGATTACAGTGCGTGACAGCGGTGTTTAGAAGTAGTCGGTTCATATCCTAACACATCGTTTAAGGGAATTTAAAGCAAGCTACTGTTATAATGTTAGGTTGTTACGTAAATTTCCGGTAATAGATTTTTAGGCGTAATGGTAATTTTTCAATGACAGTTATCGCAAAAACATTTAGCTGATGAAAAAAAGTGCGGAAGCAGTTGATACGGAGCTGTGATCTGGTATTCAAAAACAGCTGTCTCACGTTTTCAAAATGAAGGCGACGTAAAGGAGGCAAACATTATTGGAAAAGAAAGCGAAGCCGTAAACCTGCATAAGTAGGACTGTAGGAGTAATAGTCTAGACTCTAGGAGATGTAAATAATTCTTTGGAATTACCAAGTATAAGGTGCCTGGTGCTGTGCACACAGCACAATGCATGCAATGATGCAATTCATAGATAGGTTTAGGTACAATTACAAATTTGGAAAAATTTTGGTTTGCCGATTGTTGATGACTCATTCTACTATTGAGCGTTGCGTGAGTTGCGTGCTGCGTCATGCTTGGCGTTTGCAGTGTGCACTGCATCATCTGCATCATGCATGGGATGTGATAAGTGGGCCAGGCCAGGTGGCTACTAGTCAGAGCCTACCTAAATTTTCGACTCATCAACGGACTAAATTAAAATATATATATATATATGAATAGTGACAAAATTATTGAGACTGCTTAGTTTTGACAGATTGCTCACGTGCCGTTGACCGTCGTCCTGAGCTCGCCGGTAGAACGCAGTCAGACCACACAGAACGTCTTCTCTCTTCCACGGTTAAATCGAGACTCGAACGTAGCATTCAACACTTCAAGCCGTCCGTATCTAGGCCGTGGGTCGAACCAGCCTCTTTTTTTATTTATTTTATATTTGATTTTATTTTTTTCTTCATCCATTCCTTTTATTTTTATTTTACATTATTTTATTATTATTTTTTTTTTTGTTTTTCCATTTGTGTGTGTGTTCTCTCTTTGTTTCATATTTTCACTTTCAGAGTTATTAAATTGTTAGGTACCAATTAAACCCAGTTTAGGCAAGGGGCTTTATGGACTAGTTTCTAGTGCTCCTATAAGAATAAATAAGAAGAAGAACCAGCCCTCGGTCGAACGGCCACTTGTCGAAGGAGGATAAATTTTGGAACAGAACTATGCTATCTGAAACCTAACCTCAGATGCGGTGAACGTAAAATTACGTAATTTAACGATGCCCGGAAGTCAGATTCGATCCGCGGCCTGGTGGTGCACGGCAGGTGGTGGTCAAGGCCGGAAGAGGACAAAACCGAGTGGTGCATGGCTGATTGGTGTAGGTCCGGAGATATCCAAGGCGTTTGATTCAGGGCTTATTGGTGCAAAAATTGGTGGTGCACGGCTGCGCTCCCGTTAAGTTCACAGCACATTATAAACTTAAAGATTCGTTTAAGTAACTTCACAAACGAATTATATCATTACATGGCATGGTAAAAATATACAGAATGTCGCGAATATGCCAGATCCACCATAATCAATTCTATAACTGCTATTGCGGTCAAGTGACAAAATTGTAGGATCCCTGGCTTTGCTAGGATTTTTCAAGCTATCCAAACCTCGTAAATAAACTCAAGATGCCTTTTCGTGGCTCGAGGATTTTTCAGTCGCTGTATTAGACTTCCGCTGACTTATTTGCCGAATGAAAATTAATTTATATAAAAACTGCGTAAGGATGATATCGCATTAACAATTCCCTTGTGATAACAACAAAATGAACATTTGCAACGTTCATTAAAAGCTTTGGTAATGAGCAAAAATGAGCGCAAATAAATGGACCCCTAGTTCAGAAGCTAGCGTCATTGAGACATTGACGTAAGTTTAAGTTGCTTCTAGTTTATGCGATTTCGTAGCCCAATTCAGTGACTCTCCTAGACGTTAATTCAAAATCAGCCCGCTCGTTGCCGTCTAACCAACGTTTTTAAGCCATATTAACTACAAAAAAATCGAAGCTCATCTCTTAAGACTTAAGCCACAAAAATCTTCACATCATTAATATTCACAATAAGCTAGTTAAATTGGTACATGTACATTTCTTTGTCCCGGTATTTGTCAATCAATTTAATTGATAACTTCTAGCATTATTTTTAAAGAGGGAACATATGACCCCAATGGGAGACAACAGTATTTAAATTTACAGGATTAATATATAATCTCTTGTAATTGCAGCTATTCATTCATTAGTAGGAAGCTCATTTATGCGAACGGCGGTAAAGTTAAGATTTATAATTTATAACCTCATAGAATTTAATTTTAGGCTCATTCTATAATGAGTCAGTGGCCTTTTTGCTTTAGAACCTTAATGTTCTTCATCAGTACATAATTAATTACATCGGCAGGAAACGTTCTCTCGGTGAGCGTGACCAATGCTCATCGAGGTACACGCGTGGCATGGCCATTGCACTGCGGTACACATGTGTCCAACCCACTTAATAAAATTAGTTTCTGACGTTTAGAAACTGAATGAGCCTTGCAGCTCATATGTACTCTCCCAGACGGACACATCTTGCGATCTTGAATATCAAATTCGTCAGCTGCTACTTGGCCTGAATGAGAGGAAAACTGCGCCTACAGTGGGTTAATTAAAGCTCATGCTGACATTGTTCGCATCGAGCTAGCTGATGCTGTTGCAAAGAAGGGTCCTACTCCTGACCATTCTGCATTGTTCGAGCTAAAATCAGGGTATGAAGTGGTGATTCGATGTAACGTTCAGATCAGTGGTGGACAACCATTATACTCTGGGCTATTCGATTCAGAATATGGTGACGTAAAGTGTCAGGGAACGTCGGTTCGAAATTATATTTAGGGGGTAAGCAAATCAATTCAAGTAGGCAGGTTGGATTTATAAACTACAGTTAACGTTACAGGCTTAAAGTATATAGGATACAAGGGAATATTATTGACAATAGTGCAAAGTGAATATAAAAAAGGTAAGTTGATACAAGTGGATACGGGAATATAAATTAGTATTTGAACTAGTATGTGAACTCGCGGGACGACAAGGTTCAGTCCTAAAGATCTGACCTGCTCAGGAAACGAGCCTAAATTAATAACTAAGCAATTATATTGATCTGTCTTCACTTAGTTAAATTTTATCAAGCATAAATGTCAACATTCATAGTTTTATCCTAAGCTACACAAATACACAAATATTGCCCTACGCTTATATGCTCACCTGCTCAGTGTGGGAGAATAGGGTCGACAATTTTATTCAGGATACCCAGCCCTGAGCAAAGTGACGGTATTGAAGAAAAAGTCTATGACAGTAATGTGGATGGACCCCTCACATAAAGCTCCTAATATTTAAAGCAAGATGATGTCATGGGCTGGTTACCGACGGATGGCTTTACCGCGGCTGATTGGTGGTCATCCGCAAATATGCTAGGCGTTACTTTCAAGGCTGATTGGTGCACAAATTTGGTGGTACACGGCTGCGTACCCAATACGGCGAATATTTTTTTAACCGGCGAGATTAACCGTATGATCCTAAAACAGAATACACGAGTAAATACCTACGCATAACAAATCAATATGTTCACTAAAATCACGTTATTTTATGAAGCATTCAAATTTCAACACTACCACGTGTGACACCACACCTTGGCGTCGGAGTTATAATCCTATAAAAAAGTCGCCAGTACGCCAATTGGGATCAGCAGCATAACGGAAGCCCACAAATTTAAAGAACACGACAAAGCTGATCGCGCTTATACGTATAGCGGTCTGATTGCCAGTGGTGGGGAATTCAATGCAGTGAGTACTAGGTTATATTTTTTCAATCAGGATGCATTAATTTCATGAACTGACTAGCAGTTATTTTTATTTAATTAACTGGAATCCTTAATTAACTGGAATAATGATCATTGCGTATCATAATTGCAAAACACCACGAACACACCTAATAGATCCCATAAAATTCCGGATAGTAAATACTTTTCAGTATTGCCATGTTCTTCATGGTTCACACATATAGTTCACCCAAATGTATGACACGAATTCATTGATATTCATGCTGGCAGCTCCGGAAAATATAATTCGGATCATAGAACCACATTTTGCAGTTTTTCTCGTATTATGAAATCCAAGCTAAACGTAAGTTGAATTTATTTTTCTGCTGAAATTCGAGTAGCTAAACATTAATCTGTCATATTTTAATCAACTTCATGGAAATGTTTCAAATATTTAATTTTAATTATTCAACAAAATTTAATCAACCTTCAGTGACATACACTTATATTCTGCCGCAAATTGGGGTAATTACTAGCTTCCAAATTATATTACCAAATGCGTCTAGTTTCTAAATGAAAAATATGAAGTAACTATGAAAAGCCGTCCGGCAGTCGGTGCAAAAACGCGGGGAGACGGGGTAAGCGTGGAGGTAGAATTATGATGGGGGACAACAGCTGCTACGAGCGGACTGGCTGGAGTGCTGGCTGTGCACCAACAGTGATGTGGCGTAGAGAGTTCCATACCGAAAATCGTAAGGATCTTAGGATATCTCAGAGAACAATTGAATATCGTCTGGACTCCACTTTGCTGTGTTCTTAGAACCATTATCGTTCAAACAAGTCATGATTCACTTCACCCAAGATGCTTCACATGAGCGGCACAGGTACTCTCGCCATGGCTGAATCAGCACCACGTACTGGCCACTTCTCCAGCGAAGAAATCAACACATCGTTGACCCTCTCGGCCGCGTCTCGGGCACGTGCCGGCACATGCCTCTTAAGCGGCTGAAACCCCATACACAAGGACAGTAGCGTGGACAGTTCAAGCGGCAGATGAACTGGCAGCCAGTACTGGGCACCTTTAATTCGTCCAGAGTTCGGGGCTTGTATCGCCAACGTGCAACATTTGCCCTTACTTCTTTGAAGACTGTAATGGTCATGCTGTTACAGTGAACTCAGAGCGCTAATCAGAAATGACGATGGTTATACTCTAGCCTTGAGATGTCCCCATGAGAAAAAATCGCATTTGGATAAATCTGGGGACCGAGGAGGCCAAAGAACAACGCCAAACCTGGAAATAAGGCGACCAGGGAAGAGAGGGCGGATGACGTCCATTGATGCTCTGGCTCTGTGGGCGGGCGCCCCATCCTACTGGAACCACACACGTCTGGTAGGGGCTCTGGGCTCTAACTGTTGCACAATGGCTAATTTGTATGGGGGAAAGCATAGATCCAAATGCAAAATTCGCCTCACCGAACGGTCACTGAGGCGAAGTGCAGCAGCATGTTGCCGGTCAGATCGAGTCGGACTGCGAAGAACGGCTTGTCGAATGATGTCCATATTTTCAGGAGTTCGAACTGTTCGCGGAGCTCCTTTTGTTCTTCTGTTGATCAGTTCACCACGCCTGCGGAGTGATTCAACCCAACGAATGATGGTGTTTTAAGAGGTAACAGCTCTATTTCGGTGAATGTTGAAGTAGCGTCGAAACTCACGCTGTACGACGGTGACTGACTCATTATTTAGGACGAAAGAATCATAGGCGAAAACGCGATGTTCCATCGTCCAAGACTCCAAGGCTCCATGGCAACTGAAGCACGAACAATGCTATGACCTCACGAGTCAAACGAAACCATCCGCCCCCCTCTCTTAGACGGTATAGGGGAGAGTACTACACATCACAAAAACATCCGCCCTCACTGCCGCACCCAGTAGTTCCAACTCATGAATAAAAAGCATGTGTGAAATTAGCTATAAGGTTAAACGAGTGTTTATTTATAACATTTAAAATTTTATTTCGAGTACATGAAAAGCGTTATTACATTGGTGCACTTGAAGCATTGAAATACTTACGTTAAATGCTAACGAAACTACAACAGCGTCCTTAAACTGTCAATACGTTACGTAAGGTTGAGGAAAACTGATTTTTGTTTGAAGCAAAACTGAAATTCCAGCTTATTATATGAATGGAATGAAAAATGTTATATAGGAAATAAGTTTGCAATATATCGTTATTTGCTTTAAAATACATTTATATAGTGAAATATAGTAAGAATTCGCTACGATAACCATTCCGTAGACACGTAATTAATATATCATATTAAACGTCTATATTAAAAAGAGTAATGAGACATATCAACAGTTTTCTTAGATTACATCGAGATTAAAAGCAGTAAATCAAGTGGAGGAGTTTGCATTTACTGTTTGCATTTACTCCATATTGAATTTCTTTGACACAGCCATCGCCTTAATGCTGCGTCGCTACCATGCAAGCTAATATAACATCGCCGTCAGCACACGTTCCAGCATTCTAAGCGATGTATATAAAGCCTTTACTGCTATATTATCCATTAAGTCGGTTGGTAAATCCGGTGCTACATTCACCAAAAAGTGAAGAATGCTCGTGATCCAGGAGAAAAAAATATAGAAAGTATTCTAAAGAAATAATTTTCTGCGCACTGTGAATTAACAGTTGATAGTCAATACTAAAACAACAATCAATACCTCTTTTCTGGCCGATTGCAAGCGAGTTAATTATTCAACGTTGCGATAGCTGACATAAATCATGGATTTTGGCGTTCGAACGGCATATGATAAGTTAGTTAGTTAGTTTAGTGGCCAAATGTTTACTAGCGCTTCAGCTATTTAGCTATCTCGCACCGAAAGTCACGATGAACATCACCATAGAGGTGGAAGGTCTCAATTATTCATCACCCACAAGGGGCGGAAGGTCTCAGATGTCCAGCCCGCTGAAGCTGGCTCGAAAGAAGCAGCGTTAGCATCTCAAAGAGACGAAGTGACAAGGAGGGACAGGTGAAAAGCAACAGAAACGAAGACACTCGAACATGAGGTCGCTTACGCGGGACGTCGGCCACCCGCACGAGAGAGACAGAGAAAGGAAATGTAAGGAATCCTGCCTACATAATAACTTAACCCCACAACTGAGACCTGCAGTCAGACACCGCGAGCTCAACGGTGGGGCGCTCAGGAACAATCCCCCTAGGAACGCGAAATCACATAGGACTTCTGACGAGCAGAGACACCCGTCAGAAGTCCCCCCTGAGGGGGGCATATGATAAAAAAGTTTTTTTCAATCTTACCTGTATTCAATACTTTTGAGCTCTTCGGGAATTCCCCTTTGTTAATCTTTTAAATCTTTTCATCAAATGGAAATGGATCTCGCTAGCTGCTAAGAGAGAAGTTCTCTACTTGGATGAAACATATTTCACGCGAGTAACATATCAAGAATCGATCAACATACCTAGACATTAATTCTAGGTTACCAAAGTTTGGCTTGGCCAATAACAAAGTAACTGTCATTGACGCCGACAAGTTGCTCCGACCGATATTATTCTTTGACGTTTTGAAGTTTTGTTATGTTTGGATGATTTTCGTGAATTTTAGAAAAATACCCAGCATAATTCCCATTTTGAGCAAGGAAAAGATGTCACACTTGTTTTCCAATGACTTTCGGACTTATTTATATAAATTTAGCATGATTTCGAAGTCTGGCTCATCAACGGAAGAAGTAAATAACTTAAAGGAAGGTAGTCAGCTCAACTTGGCACACTCTCAAGTTAAACCAAACCTGAAATAATTATTTGCAAATTTTTCGCTTGATTTCCAATGAAGCTTCACTGATTCATTTTTTTTACCGCACTGTAGTTGGAGAGCATGAATACACACTAGAGAAACAAAAGCTTCGATTTATTAAAATTGCTGAAAAAATTCTCCTGTGCACGACTAGAATTCACAATAATTTTTTACTTTTTTATTAAACTTATCTTGCTCATTTACATAGGCTTCTTTTCTGCTGGGAAGGTCTTTCAAATCCCCAATGATACAACACCTTCACTGATTATGTTCGCTGTTGAATAGAGACACTTGAAGCTCAAATATGTATTGTATACAATAAGATTGAAATAGTGTCTGTCGAAATACACAACTGATCTTGGTGATTTCCGTAGTTCGGGCAGATGAGCATTCCCTTCTAGATTTCCGTAGTTCGACGATATTTTACAACACACTTCGATAACAAACAGTTGAATAAGTAAGCAATCAAAGCAAATATTCTTGTAAAATTCAAGAGAAGATGCTTGTAAAATTTAAAAGCTTCATTAAAAAACCATCCATTTTGTATGAGACTTCATGATGTTTCATTCATAGATACTGTATTTGACTATCACGGCACCATAACTGTTCTTATTATATATGATATATGTATCATTTTTTATATTTAACTGATTGAATATTTTTACATTTTCTATGCAAATAGTACGTACCTTCGTCCGAGTTGTCTGATCCTCCTTGGACAGCTGTTCCTCCAGCAATTAATTCAACTCGAGATCCTTGCTCCAGATTGGAAAATAGATTTCCATCATCGTTGTAAAAGAAAATTTCCGGGAACCAAATTTTCTGTACCTCCTCGGGCGTCAGCATGTTGAGGGAACGTTCGTTTTTCAGGTCAAGAAATTTGAGGCGCGAATCTTGCCACATTAACAGCAGCACGAAGTTTGTTTCGAAGGAGAGAACTTCAGTCTTGATTCCAGGGAATGAAGAAATGAACACAGATATATTTACTGGCAGCGGTTCGCTCTGAACAAGAGGTGGTGGTGGGATCGTGTTGCTGTAACCGACTGGGATGCTCAGAAGAGTGCATTTCGTCTCGTCGCTGTTGTCGGGGCAATCCATTCTGAGGTCGCACTTCTTGCGCAAGGCTATGCAGGAACCATCATCACACGTGTACTGGCCAAAAATACAGGCCGATAAGGTCAATTGAACCTTTTCACCTCGACTGTATCCGCAAATTTGTGATTCCACCTCCCACGTTTTCTTCCCCAAAGGATAATCAGAGGGCGAATCAGGAATGTGCAGAGCCGAGGCCCCCGGCGTCTGTAAAATTTTTATAAAAACATTTTTTCATTGGAGACTTTCCTACTTCAATTCAAGGAATGGAATGCATTAACAAATGCATCAAATTCCAGAAATATACTAAAAAAATCACATTGCATAAACAAACGACTCCATGCATGCATCAATTGTGTCTCACTTTTTTCGAAGCCAGCTTCCACGCTTGGGTTTCGTTGTCCCAAAAGATGTCAGAGTGCCGGTAACCAGTGAGTGAAGGCCGGTTATTGACGCTTCCACGTAAGATGTATCTAGTGTTGAAAGGCGAATTTTTGCACAAGAGAGGCCCTTTTAGGAACATTGTTGGGTAGTTCTTAAATTCACAGAACATGCATTTTTTATGTGAATCAAAGCAAGCGAAATCGGACCAGAGTCCGTTGATGCCAGGACCATACATCATCGCCAAGCAATTTTCGACAGTGCCTCCGTTGGGGCCACCTCCCCGCCACCGGCCTTGGTACGTGATTGTTTTATTGGACTCGAAATGCTCCCAGCGGCCTTCTACATTACCGTCCTGAGCCCCAAGCCACAGGTAAGCTGATCCGAGGTAACTAGAGCAGTGTTCAGCCCACCCGACCGTCTCGGTGAACATCCGAGTGTTTTCTGCGTCGTTGATAGGGATGCCAATCTCCCCACCAAATTTCTAAGCAAATAAAATTGCATGTTTCATTTTAACAAAATTTGGTAAAAAATTTGTTTCATTTTAACAAAATTTGGCGAATTGCGTATAAAAATACGCATTTTGAGTTTATTTACTAGCGTTGTGCATGATTTGATTTGATTGATTCTATAAACGGAATCAATTGGAAACGGAATCTAAACGGAATATATATCTAATCTAAATCTAAATGGAGAAATAAGTTGGATTGGGAGTGCATTTTTTTTCAATAGTTGGTTCCAGTCAGACTTACCGATAATGAGTTTGTGAATGAATATAGATTTCGAAATTCTAGCAGAGTATCAGAATCTAGGATTCGCATAATAAGCTGCTCATATTCTAATGTACAGGATTCAACAGGGAAGTATGGGTGATTTGAGCTGCACAACACGTGATGTATAAACGATCTTAATTGGGGGGGGGGAAGAGTAAAGGGTCTGTTCGTGACGAAACGTAATTTCAGTAGAGAGAGTGGTCGATAGAGAATCACATGTTGATCTACAACCAGTTAATAGAAACAGGCCGTTTTGTCATTAAAAAACAGAAACTTTTCCGGAATCATTTCAACGTTGGTCTTTATTGTCGAATTCCGGAGTTTAATTCGATAGAGAAGTGGACGAATAATTAGTGAAGGTTCTATGAGACCAGGGACTGCAGGAGGATGGGACGGACCAAGGGAAGCCGACCCAGGAAAACTAGGGACCTAGGAAAACTTTGAACATGAGCGTCCAGCCACTGAAGCCATGCCGGCCTAGCTTAGGCGCTCAGCCGTACGACATGCTGGTGCAATCAAACAAGAGTTCGCAGTTTCCCGACGTTCGCACTGTTCGATCACCTCCTCGTGCCGTCCCAGGTGTCAAAGAACCAGTTCATTCAAAATTATTCGCACATCTCTCTACCGATGCATGACCATCCCTTTCAATTAACTTGTTGAAGACAAACACACGCGATGCTCTATTGACTACGCCTCTGAGCAGCCTCTCTTGCTATTCAAATGACTTCTCTCTATCTTGAGATTTACTCTTTACCCCCCCCCCCAAACCACACCTTCGCATAATTGATCTGTCCATACTTCCTCTCCGGATCACGCATTTTCGTTGGCTCATTGTGCTTCAAATATTACTTTTACCTGTAAAATTTCATAATTGCGCATCAAACTTCTAAATATACTACTAGAATGCGATACAATACGGATGAGCATTGGAACAAACTGTCAAAAATGAGTGAATGTTTCCCTTATTATCTCAAAATATTTATAACATCGAAAATTCAAATTTATTCGAAAAGTTTTAAAAGACATCAAAAAATGTATGTCCAAATGGATTAATATATACTGACATCAATTTTTTAATCACCTTACACACAGCCCGAGCCTCGTTTAACTGAAACCGGCTTGGGAAGAAGATGAAGTCTCGCCTAGACGATGAGCAGAGAGTAGTCAAGTTTTGAACAAGCCACTCGACCTCTCCACTGATATTCCAGCGCAGTGTTGACCACGCCAACGCATCACCTTCATCTTTATTACTGCATTCGGCGATCTGCCGGGTTATAAGGGGAAAAATTCGTGAATTCCTCTATATACTCGTGAACTGCAGTTGTAGCAATATTATCCTTGTGCTTTCCATCATCTATACATCAGACCACAAAATATTATTATTAAACTCAATCCCATATGAGCGTTCTCCAACAACTTAATTTAATTAATTTGTTGCCTAATTTAAATTTCTATTGACATTAATTCAGTTACTTCTTAAAGTTTAATGCATGGGATACTACATTTTTGATAGTCGATGCGTCTAAAACTCGGTGCCAAAAGTTGAGTTGTGTGATCTCCCCGCTGTAGCTCCTGTCTCCTTCGAAACCACCTCCGAAATTATCTTGTTGTTGGCCTGGTCAGAATCAACTTATAACTGGAAGAATTGAAATAAGTATGCTGTTCTGCTAACACAATCGCTGGTCAATTAAGATCACTTGATATTTTCACGAAAATAGCGAATCAATGTGAAAACAAATTTTGAATTCGACAGCTACCGATTCATCTTCGATTTTTTCATATCTTAGGCCTACATTAAAATAAAATCGAGCCTGGAATGAGGTAAGAAATATACACGAGGACTGCCACTTACATAAATATCCATAGAAAATAACTTTGAACTTGATAGTTAAATGAAGGTTAACGACAAATATAAAATGCATTTTAGTTTTCCTTGTTGAGTAGAGTAAACAAGCTAAAATATTCGCTAAGTTTTAACTACTACAGGAAAAGTGTCCTTCTGTGAATAATATTCACATTAAGAGTAACATCTTCAACCCGTCTTACCAATGACAAAGGCTCCATTTCCAGAAATCACTCCGGAAAAGTCGTATAGTTTATCTCCGGCTTCCTTTACTCCATCCTTGTAGATAATCCAGGACTTGTCAGAGTCGTCGAAAGTGAAGCAAAAGTGACTCCAGTACCACAGTGGAGTGATCACATTGGATGTTGCACAAATGCTACTCAGGCACACCTGGTAGCCATACAGCCTGTGATCTGCCCCCATATTGATATGTAACGTAAATACCGTCGTCATGACACAACTGAACTGGTGGTCATAAAGAGAGCTGGTGCTCATGTCAAACCGTTCATCTTTGTTCACAATTATGTTAAAAATTCATCACCATAATTAGAACTACTATAAAACTCGCAATATCAAATAAAAAGTATTATTTATTTACATAGTCTTCAGACAATTGCTTCAGCTTCTTTGATTTTGAAATGTGGAAGTAATCCAAATAAGTATCTCCTGCAAGAATATCGAAAAAATGGCAAAAACAAAACTATTTCTGGATTTACAGCCTGAGTAAATTTACGAAAACTTCAAAGACATACCAATCCTGAGAGCGCTGCTATCAGTATCAAGCAAGGCATATGACAGGAGCGGTCCTCCATATATATTTATATCGTCCTCCTCCCGGTAGCGGTACATGCGGATGCGGTAGCACAGAGTGAACTTCCTCAACTCGGGAAACGGGTTCAGGAGACGCGCGTAACTTGTGGCCGCCGGTGTGCCGGAGCCCTGCAGCAGCATCACAGCCGCAGCACCATCGCCTGCAGCGTCAAGAAGGCGATATAAGTTCAGGACATATAAGTTATTTTACACGTAAATGTATAATTATAGTATTTGGTTGTTTGAATACTCAACTAGATATTGATATGGCAGCGCTGTGATAAAAGTGGTCGCGATGAGTCTTATCTAAATGCTTCATGCACTGTTTCTACTCGTATTATAAAAAATTCTTAGACAAATGCAAAACTTGGCTCAAACGGAGCCCCCTATTGGCAACGTCAAATTAATATAGATTCCTGAAAATGTTAATATCAGTTTCGCAATTGTTATTACTCGTAATATGAATATTGCTGCTAGTACTGCAATCTTTTTTATTTCTTGTCTCCGCAAAAAACATAGTCAAAATACTTCCATCATAGTGCTGCGATAAGAGGCTAAGTCTTGTTTCCAAACAGACTGTAATATTTCGTTAACTTGATGTACGACTTGACCTTGCACATTTCACTTGCATAATTTGTACTGTGGATGATTCAGGATGATTCATGGAAACTTTCTGATTTGAAAGCTCAATAAAAAATAACTAGCAAAGATATCATTACAATAAATATATTATTGAAAAAACATTGCCTGAAATTTTGTATCACTTGGTTTTTAAGATGACATCGGACAAATGACGGCATCCATTGTCAATACATTCAGTTGGTCGATTTTCGAAGCTCCGTTCAACTCGCAGAAGCATATTGACAGGTATGTTGGCGATGGCTTGTTCAATAAGGTAGGGTCCTATTCAATGCTGATGTTCTTCAAATAAGGTAGGGTCCTTGGACAGTCATTGTAAACATTTTATTCAAGGTAATCCCATGAAAAACTCACACGGAGCCAAATCGAGGGATCGAGTCGGCCATAGAAGATGAGGCTCTCAATGAGATGAGGCGCTCTGCAAGATGTAGCGGAAGATCCAAAGTGTGGAGAACGCAGAAACGCCTCTCGAACTCTATCTACGTTTTCGGGTGTTGCGGCAGTCCGCTGACCTCCAGTTCACCTTGCATTCACACTTACACACCCTCTAAATGTATTCACCCTCGTACCCATCGATTTCCGATCATGAACCCGACCTGAAGGACGAATACGGAACCGAGTGTGGAATGCTCGTTGAGTAGCGATAATGAAACGACCAATAGGAAAGTGCGCCTCGACAGCAAACACACGCTGCGCACTTGTCCAATGCATCGCGGCAACAGACTAGCCGGGACACAAAACTTTATGACCTTGCCTTTCATATGAAATACTTTTCTCCCTTTTCCTACATTTGACTGTTTGGCACGAAATACAAAACAGGAAGTTTTTGTGAATCACCCTGTATAACAGAGCGCTGAATCTCACCTGGTTCCGGCCGCTGAGTCTCCTGCGCTAGGGCGGCGGCTGCCAGACTAGTGAGCAGCAGCAGCGGCGCTAGCGCGTTCATCTTGTCAACCGATGCCCTTGAAGGCAGTGTTGAAAATGACCCCCTGACGCTGATAGGAAAATATAGGATTTAATATTATTATAATTTCGGATTTTTGTATTTCATTTTTCGCAATTTACATATGCGGACGTTAGATTTGTAAATTCCCATCCGATTAGTCAGCCCCGCTGTTGAACCCACAGTGTCAAAGAGCGTTTTACTACCTTGGACTAGTGTTCAGAGCTTCAACTCCAAATGAAGAAAAATAGAGTTTTAACTTGGTTTAAGGTTTGTTCGTGTGTTTTTCATTTAGTGATTATTTCAATGTGTTGAATACTTTGTTATATTCTGTATAGTTAGATAAGTTAATTTGAGCAACCCCAGCAACGCCCTCTGTGCTTCATTTCAAACTGTGGAGATTAATTACTTGGAGCGACCTCAGCAACGCCCCCTGCGCTTCATTTAAACTGTGGTAATCACTTCCATTTCACTCTTATAAATTTGTCTCTCATTGCTACTAGTTGTTGTGGTTCCCCGGTTTCCCTTTTACAGGAGACCCCCCTCACGCAGGTACGACACTACCGATAGGAGGTCGCAATTCAGAGCTGTAGGGCCGAGGTTATGTGGTGGTGTTGTCTGAGATCCTGCCAGAGCTGACATTCCAGGAGAATGTTCGTGATTGTGTGGGGAGCTTCCTGGCAGGATGGGCAGGTGTCTGAGTCTGCTTGACCAATTCTGTTTGCGTGTGTTTGTAGCGGGGGGGTGGGGATGGTGGCCGCAGCGCAGCCTGGCTAGGTGTACTCTCTCCAGTCTTGAGAGCTGGGTTTCTGTGATGCTTATGTCAGGTGGTGGGTGTCCAAGGATTTTGTTGTTGCCGGCCAGCTCCAGCATTCTCTGTGTTATGATTGTGTGTATTTTTTGTGTTGGTGTTGCCTTGGGATTGGGATACTGTGTTTAGCGTGTTGGTGTAATATCTCCGTTGGGTTTGCAATATTCGTCTGTGTGTAGGTGGGTGGTCGCGCAGGTAGTAGCATGGGTGTTCTGTGTTGTTTATGGCTGCAGCTAGGAACTGTGTTCCTCTCATGTCGAGGTGTACTTTTATGGGAAGTATTTTTGTTTCAGCATGAAGTTGTTCGATGGGGGTGCTTTGTGTGCAGCCTGTGACTATCCTGAGGGCTTTTTTTGTAGTGTTTGGAGTTTGTTTGTTGGTGTTGGATAGTGCGGGCGCCCAAGCGGGGCTGGCATAAGCCAGCACTGTTCTGATGAATTGTTTGTATGTGGGTGCTAGTGTTACTCTGTCTTTACCAAATTTGGTACCGCCTAGGAACCGAAGTGAGTTGAGTGTGATGTTTGCGTTGTTCACTATGTTGTCGATGTTAGGACCGAAAGTCACGGAGGTGTTGTAGGTGACCCTAATATTTTTGTTTCGTTTGTGTGAGGGATCGGGCTGTTGTTTAATGTGATGTTTGGTCTGTATTGGTGCTCCTTTGTGTAGCTGGTCATTAGTGTGCTTGTACCTTTGCTAGGGGCCACCTTGAGTCTGTTCAGTGTAAGCCATTGTGATAATGTGTTGAGATATGATTGTGCTTTTTGAGTACATATGTCTGCGGATGTGTGAGTGGATGTTATTGTAGCGTCTTCTGCGTAGGAGGCAATTTGTATGTTTGGAGGTGGTTCGGGTATATGTCGTGCATGTATAGATTGAAAAGTGAGGGTGATTGGACGGAGCCCTGTGGGACGCCGTTGGCTTGAGTGACGTGTGTGAAGACTTGCCAGAGTAGTGTACGTATGCTTGTCTTCCTGATAGGTAATTGGCAAGCCAGCGTTTGTTGTTGTTGTGTAGTGTGGTGTTGTAAATTTGGTTTGTGAGAGGGAGACGAGGGATGGCATCAAAGGCTTTACTGATGTTTATTGTAAGGAGTAGTGTTCTCTGTGCGGGTTTGCGGGAGTTGATGCTATCGTTTATGCTTTGTGTGAGGTTTGTGAGTAGTGTTGTGGTCGAGTGGTGAGGTCTGAATCCGTGTTGTATTGGAGAAAGTGTAATGTGCGGAGTGGCTGTGTTCAGTATGAGGCGCTCTATGACTTTTGATGGTGTACAGAGTAGTGTGATTGGTCTGTATGAGACGGTCTCAGTGGGTGAATTGTTGGGTTTGAGAAGTGTAATTATTTTGCCAACTTTCCAGATGTCTGGTACTTTGGAATGTGAGGAGAAGTTCGCGATATTTGTAAGTGTTGTGATTTCCTGTGGACCAAGGTATTTGAGGTGTATGTTTGTAATGTTGTCGGGCCCAGCAGCGGAGGAGTCTAATTTTTTATGACCCTTTTAGTGTCGTCTGTAGTTGCTAGGGTAGCTGTTGGGTCTAGTGGAAATAGTTGTTTGCGTTTGATGATGCGTCTGTCTTCTTTGTATTTGGGTAACCTACTTATGTTTGCGTAGTGTTGTATTAAAATGTTTGCTTGTGCTTGTCTGGTGGCAATGTTGTCTGTGTTAGTGGTGATTGCAGCGTGGGTGTGTTCTTGTTTGCTGTTCGAATTGTGTATGCTGCGTATTGTTCTATAAAGTTGTGTGGTGTTGGATTTGTGGTCCAGTGTATCTAGGAACTCGAGCCAAGCCCGGTGCTGTTGTTCTGTGATTTTGTTCTGAATTCGTGCGTTTAGTTCATGGATTTCTCGAGTAGTGATTGATAAGGGAGGGGTGGGTGTTTGTCTGAGATTGTTGCGTTGACGGATGAGGCTGGCTATCTCAGGTGTGAAATTAGGGTTGTGTTTTTTTCTGTTGCCCTTTGGTATTTGTTTCTCGTCTGCCTCTTGAATGATTTTGTTAAATTGGGCAACAGTGTGCTCAATTTTTGTGATTGGGAGGAGGTTCATGTGTTCAAATTGAGCTTCAGTCCCGTGTTTGAATTCCTACCATTGCGGGCGTTTAAAGTTGTGTGTTTTGCGTGGTTGTGTGTTGTTGGTTTTGGATTGTGTTGATTTCATTTGCGCCTAGCCTTGCCGACTTTCAAACATCACTTTTCTTTGCTATGACGACTTTCCATGCAACATTGATGTTTCCCTGGTTTAATTTCTATAAAACCATAAGCATTTATTTGCACAGCTTGAACCTCGGTTTCTCGGTTGAACCTTTGCGAGTGATCAGGTGCCTGTAGGCGCTTTCGGCGGTCACTATCTCGAATTGCTTGCCAGAGACTATCCCAACACATAATACATCCCGCAGGCAAGCAAGCTAGAGGGCATATAGTAGTAGCCTTTGGAATTATGTGATTGAAGCAATAGAGCCGAAAGTCCACAAATACTGCTGAAACATGCCCGATCATAAGCAGGCAATTGTGCATCAGGCGCCACTTACTACGTTGTCCCAACTCTCCCCATAAAATGAAGCCTGAGCGGACCTAACCTAACCTCACTAGCTGCGGTAAGATGGAGTGGCGGAGCAAGTGCATGTGAACGGTTGTGCGCGGTGAGGCACTGCAGCAAACGACTCAAAGCGCATGTCGTTGCCACTAGTGTAACGGACCTTTACGATGTTCTCCCGACGTGTGCGTATCTTTTATCGCTGTAGCTGAGTTAGGTTAATGCATCTGAAGCTTTACGCTTTCTGCAGGGCTTGTTCGTGAGTTAAATTTATAGCCAGTGGATGTGCCCCCGCTTCCGCTACCTTTGGTTCTGGCCCCTCCAGGACACAACTTAGAGCCACTTCACCAGTTAAAAAGTAAACTTGGTTAAATTAAATTCACCTTATTTACCATCCCAGCCCCTCACTCATTTTCAATGGTCTGTAAGGGATATTCACTCATTTTTCGAGACTTCAGTTGCTATACCTATATTAAGTTCTTCGTTCTTTTGTTACTGGTTACTGGTAAGGTTGGCTACCGTGTCAACGCTCTGACGTTGCATTACGGGGCTGAAGCCCGCGCTAGGATACAGTTCTTAGGTTGCTGAGACGTTGTATGAACGTAGGGAAAAATGAGGTGCAGTGGGACACGTCAGTTATTTTAAATAATTAAAAATATTGAATAGCATTATAAGGTAGTAATAGCACATAAGTTTGTGCATTGATAAACGTGGCAGCGAGACGTGCATGTCGCCCTGTCCTGCATTCCTCAGTGAGTAATATTTTGTTTTAAGGTAAGCCGACTAAACATTTTTATGAATGTATTAAGTGTGATGAGAGCGCCAGTATTGCAGACTTAAGTTTTACTGTGTGATTTACTGTTATACTATAGGTCCAAATAAAATTTTTTGAGATAAATAGTAACTTGGTTTTATAATAATAAAATGGCAGGTGAATGTTTCCTGATGGGGGTTTGGAGCATACTGGGACTGAATCAACGTCCCAGGACTGTCCAATTCCTCAAGCCAGGACTTTCCATTATGAAGTTGAAATTGACCGTTCGCTGCCAAATATTCGTTGAAAGAGATCGCAGGCTCTCCTCGTGTTCATCAGAAGAAAAATTCAGTATTTAGCACAATTCATTTGAAGCAATATACTGCTAGGAAAAAGTTAAAAAAATATTTTTTTCACAGATTCAAAAACATATTAAGGCTTAATAACAGAGCTAAAAGACGACAATGACGAATATGAAAAATCTTACTTGAGTCGTAGAGAAAAATAACAACATTTCGTATTTCTCTTACCGACCCTACTACAGTACATGCAGAACAACGAAAAACAAATTCTGACCTGAAATTTTGATAGTGTCTTGGTTATGAAAAGTGTCCCAATTGGCCAAATGCACTGTACCTCGGGTCGAGGTACTATATATGGGACATTTTATTTTATTTCTCTTTTAGTATTTCTCGCCTGTGAAACAATTCTTAGCATTACTTTGGTTGTAAGCAATTCAATCAAGGATGTGATGCTTAGTTTTATCCATCATTTTTATTCATCATCAAGAGTAAAATAATTGTGCTATTTTCCATTTAATTTGTTTTTGTCCCATTAATAGTGCCCACTTTTCCCAACCTACTAGCTCCGATGTACTCTGGGGCCGCATTATCAAAACTTCGTAACTTTT